GCACAGGCCGCCGAGCCCGGCGAGGGCTTCGGCGCATGCGGAGCGGCTTTGGCAGCACTTGGCGTCAGTCTGGTGATATTCAGCCTCTTCCAAGCCCGTTCCCTTGGCTGTGGTTTTGCTAGATAGTAGGTAGGATGCGCGTCACTAATTAGATGACTTGCTGAAATGAAGATGTTCATTGTCCCCGGTTGGTTTTCAAGGGAGTCGATTTCACCGCTGGACATATGTGTTGTTTTCCAGGGGCTGAATTAAGCAGATGGATGTTTTTTGAAGTTGGGACCCCCTTTTTTGGGATAAAAGGAAATTAAGAGGAACACCGGAGCCATTTCTTCGGGGGGGAGAGGGAAAGCCGGGCCGGAAGCTTCAACAAAATCAGATCTGCACACGATTCCTTTCCCCTTCTTTCTCTCTCCCCCTCTCTCTCTCTCTGTTTTTCTCTTTCTCATGTTCTTCCTCTTTCTCTTTTCCCTTCTCTTGCTTTGTTTTTCTCCTTTTTGAGGTTCTCGTTCTCGTTCTGTCTGTCTCGCTCTCTGCCTCTTCCTTCGCCTCTTTTTCTTTCTATTTTTTTGTATGTGTGTGTGTCTCTTTCTCTTTCTCCTTCTCTTTACTTTAACGCCTCCCGCTCAGAACGCCGACGTTACAGGCCTGCTTTCTGCATGCCTTCCAATGTTCCACATGTTTCCTTTTTTCTCAATGTTTTCCCATAGTGCACAATGTTCCCCATGTTCTCCAATTTCCCAATGTTTTCCCCTATGGTTTCCATTGTCCCCATGTTTTCCTATATTCCAATCTTTTCTCAAAGTTTCCAGCGTTCCTCATGTTTTCCAATTTCCCAATGTTTTCCCCATGGCGTCCACTGTTTCCCCCCACGTTTTTCCTTATTTTCTAAATGTTCCTCTCCGTATCTCCCAATGGTTTCTCCATGGCTTCACCATTCCCCCAATGGTTTCCCCATGTGTTCCACTACGATTTTCCTCGGCCCGCAGTCTCGGATCGTCCTTCGTCTTTGCCTTGTTCTTCATCTCTTGCGTCATCCGCTCTTCCTTGTCCCTTCTTCCCTGTGAAGCTCGGCCATGGCTTGGTTCAAGGCACCGTCGCCGGAAGCACCTCTGAGCCAATGACCGCCCGCGTGGGTGAAGAAACCACGTCGACGCCTTGTTGCGGAACAACCTGAAAACACGGCTGTACCAAATCCATGACTCCGTCTCCTGGCAGCGAGTCCACTCTAATGTGACAACCAAGGCCTATACTGCAAAGAAAGACCTGCAAGGCATCTGCAAATGACACCACCACCACCGAGAAGCCCTGGCGCGAACCCAGAAGCACATCAACTTGCCTTGTCGAATGGAGATGTGGGAAAGATCCATCCCATTCCTGAGAAGGAATAAAATCCATCCGCGTCACCTGCAACCAAATCCAAAGGTTCAACTCCGTCCGAGCCACAAGATCCGGGTAACTGCTGGCTGGTTCATTTCAGACCATTTGTCATGTTTTTGTGAAGATGCCGGATGGAAGGACCAGATGCTTGCGTTTGCCCACAGATTCCACGGTGGAGGATTGCTTGGCACCAACTCCATGGGCGATGCCGTTAGTCTGAATTTGCTGAAGCATGATGTGTGCGCTCGAGGTGGATTTCCACGTGTGCAAATCTCTGCCTCCGCCGCAGATTTTCACCTTGAGCCTAGCTGCTGCGAATGCCACACACACACATGCGCTACATTTCGCCGGTTGTGGCAGGGTGTTCGTTGGTCGGTCGGTTGGTCAGTGGTTTTCTGGCTTCCTGCATTGGTTTGTGGCCTTCGGTTCGTGCCAATTGGTCTCCCATGCTTTTCCAATGAATTCGATTGTTCGGCCCTTCCAACGCTCCAATGGCTTCCCCCAATTTTTCCCCATGGATTCCAATGTTTTCCTCCATGGCTTCCACTGCTCCTCCCCCCTGTTTTCCACATTTGCCAATGCTACTTCCCCTTCGTTTGCAATGTGCCCCTCCCCATGTTTTTTAAAACTGCCGCGGAAGCTCCCCTAAGCTGCCTTGCTGCTTGGGCAGGTGAAGCTAGCGATGGCGGAGACGTGGCCAAAGCTATCGAAGGATCGCGCCCAAGTTTCTTCTTCATCCGCCTTGCAGCTCCGCATCCTGCGCTGATCCCAAGGACGCAGAAGCGATGCTGTGGATGCCGCAAGGTTTTTGCGCAACCGTCCACGGAATTACCAGGTGGCGCATGCCCGCGCAAGCACGCCCGCTCAGCACTGTGTCCAGGCCTGCCACAAGCAAACCCGCTCAAGCGCGCCCGCTCAGCGCTGCCCCCCCCCCCCCCAACCGGAGAAAAATCTGGTGTCAAGCAACATTTCTTGCGCCCAAAGCGCAGCCTGTTGTGGGCGGATTTGTCTCTGTCAGTGTCTGTGTTTTCTTTGTCTTTCTCCTCATTCTCTTTCTCTCTCTTTCTTGAGGGATATTCTTTGCAAAATCTAAAGGCATCCCGTTAAACACAACCAAGCAAACTACTCGCAACACAAGGCAAGCCCATACCCAATTTCTGTCGGGAGTGGTTGACCACCGGCATCTGGCCAGGAATGCGAACCTCGTCACACCTTGTCGTTCCTTTGAAATAACCTAAATTTGTACAGTTCACTCAAAATGACAACATGACTGGTCCAGCGTTGGCTGAAATGTTCCCAGCTGCAATTTCCAGAGCAGAACGGGCTTGTGCTGGGTTTTTGTGACCCCCAACCTTGGGACTTTCCATCGACCTCCAAGGCCTTGTTTCCCGACAACTAAAACGGCTCCACGCGTTTTGCCCATGGCTCGGAACGTCTCACCCAGCCAAGCGACCTTTTGGTTTTCCCTGTATTCGCGTCCAGGTTCCAACGGCTGATCACCTGTGTCCAGGTCAACGTGAGGCCAATTTCACGTCTCTTTTCGCCAGGCTCGGGGCTGCACACCTCGGCTTCAGGCGCGCCGGAGTCGATCCCGAATTGCGTTTTGGACCAAAAATTCGGACCTCGAAGTGCGGCTGTCCGTCAAGACTAGGGACCGGCGCCGCCAGGACGTTGCTTTTTCCAGCAGATACCCGAAACGATGCAACATTTTGAGAAACGCCCAGCAAGTTTTTTGTGGGGTCACGCGAGTAGATTTACCAATTGGGGCGGAAACTAGCTCGGGCCCAGGTTCCACCAATTGACTCTTACGGCGCAATGTGGACGGACCCTTGAGAATCTTCCTTTTCTCCCGATCAAACGCAGCAACAACAAGCTAAACCAGCCTTTGTGTGTATGTGTATGTGGCTCCAACAGGAAAACCACTACTTTTGTGGTTCCCTCCCCCTATGTTGCCATAGACCCTGGCCGGGAATCTCGCGGCTCCACGCAGCAGGCTACGATTTCCCAAAGACGGGCCTTTGCGTCAGAGGCATTTTGTCATCCTAGGGGTAAGACACCCTGTTGACCTACCTGATAGTAGAACAGTGGCAACTGGAAGCACTATCTTAAGATGTGGAAATCCTGAAAATCGGTCCCTGTCCTCAGTTCCGGAGTTTCTGGTTTTCACACATCTCAACAGGTTTCGACCTTTTTGGCCACTCAAGTTGAAGTTTTCCTTTCACCAAAAGTACCCAAGCTTTGGACATCTCCAAATTGGTCGGTGTCCAAAATCGCGAGCACCTTCCCACGTTCTGAGCCCGGCTCCCAATTTCACTCCTTGAGACCGCCTGTCGACCCAGGATGAACCGGCGGGTTGATCAAATGGGTCTTGTTTTCTCCTGAATCCATAGCTCCCCGGGCTGAACACTGAGGCGTGTGGGTGATCTCCAACAACAAAAGGCACTTGCATGTTCGTTGCCAAGTTAGTACGTGTTCCCATTTGTTTACCCACAAAGAAGGCTTATATTACCCTTATAGGGACTTACAAGTGGGTGAATCAGTGATAACTTACAACCTAAGTTACCAACAACTTACTAACTTGGCCGAGCACCCCAGCACCCCCTCTTTTTTTTGCTTGAGTTGTTACCCTTTGGGAAGCCGGGCCCCGATTTGGCGGCTTGTTCTCTTCATGTTTGGCTCTTTCAACACATTTGCAAACAGCCCCATGAGCCCAGTTGTTCAGCGCCGTCTCCTTTTGTTTGGGGCAGGTTTCTCATGACTCTAGCAATGGCTTCCCCCACTAGGGGTTTCGGCTCACTGGGCAGCTGGGTTGAGGGTTTGGTCTTGGCGAGGACGACCAGGACGACCACGGCAACTGCAGCCCGGCATGAGAAAAACGTTTCGCGGGGGGAAGCGCCCATGTGCCTGCCATCTGGGCCAAGCCCAAGACACCCCAAAGGGAGGGGCACGCCCAAGTGCCCAGTTGCCCAGCGGTGCCCTTTTTCCTTTTTTTGGTAAGGGTTCTGTTTAATTAAAACTCAACCAAAAAAGGATGCCCTTTTTTTCCCATGGCCACTGGGCATCTGAGAATGGCGCTATGAAGGTCCTTGGTTCAGGCTAGTCAAATTTCGTAATTTGTGTAGAGTTGGCGCGCACACGGCCTGCTGGATTGAGTTTAAACAGGTGATAGCGAAATCGGCAAACCCACCCTTTGTTTGAATGGGTTGAACGAACAACTTGTCGGATGCTTCTCAGTTGCAACTTTCTGGGTGGTTTCGAAGGGAAGCAATAGCCGCTGGATGTGTCTAAAGACAACCAACAGCTTTGTGGATGTTTTTCAATAGTTTTGAAAGGGACACGCCATCGTGTTGCATGGTTTTGAAGGCAAAGAACAATTGTTTGGATGATTTGTAAGGGAGACACCAACTTGCTCGAAGTTCAAAAAGCAAGCAACACTAAACATCCCAGCAAGTTTCAGGATGCATGAAAAAGCCCAGCAAAATTCTAGGCACCAGCTCATTTTGGGGGCTCCTACAGAGCCCCTCCTATCAGCTCGAGGTGACATCCATCACAGCCACCGCAGTGCTGCCAGCTACACGGCGGGGCGAGCAGGGAAAGAGCGGGGAAAGAGCGGGGCCTTGGAAATGGACACGGCGGGGCCTGCGTCTTTTGGAGGGACCTCGTTTTCGGGTCCTTCATTGGTAAGATGGCGCTCGAGAAAACAATCAACAACTAAGAAAAGCCAATCAACATCTTCATTGGTGGCTTGGATTGGGGGGAGGTGGGTGGTTGAACCCCAGTTCGTTTTGACGCGGGAAGGCACCCCGAAGGTCCAAACCCCCAAAGCCAAACAACTGGGCTGACCTTTTTGCACATTTTGGAGTTGCTTTACAGGGAAACCGGGAAAATCAAGGGGACACCCGCATTTTTGGGTCCCTGATTTCAAGACAAACCCACTTCGGCTGGGTGGGTTGCACATATTCTTCGATTTTTTTCTGGCGAGCTCACCGATGGGGCTAGCACGAGCTCACCAAGATGTGGTTCCTTTACTTGGGGATTCCAGTTCATATTTCCAGTTTTGGATTTTTGGTAGGGTTTGCAGAATGTTGTTTCAACCACCGCCTGTTCAAGAGGGTTGCAGTCCGAAATCCTTAAAAACACGTGCACCCCCCGTGAAATTTCAATGGCTTGCCCAAGGAGCAAAGCATATTTGCCGTGCAGTTGGGTTACCAGGATGTCACCTCTCGGCTTGGGTTGCCCAAGCGCGCCCGCCCAGCGGGGGAAAGCAAGGACATTCTCCCAGTTGCCCAGTTGGATTCCGCCCTTCAACCTTTTTGGGGAAAAGGTTCCGCTAACTCAAGCAACCAAAAAAAGGATGACCGCCTTTTCTCCCATGGAGATCCACAACTCTTTGCTTCCATTTGCTTCTTTTTTTTTCCCCGGTTGGTTTTGAAGGGAATCTATCACTGGACATATTTTTATTTGTTCCAGGGGTCTTCACCAAATGGAAGTGTATTTTGGGGAAGGGCTCCCGTTCCAACATTCCCCCAGGACAGCGACCAGCTCCACCGCGTCCTCCACCTCCGCCGGGCGCTGAAGTGGAAAAAAATGAGCTGCGGGGAGAGCCCGGCGAGTTGTTGGAGGTCCGGAAGTGCCCGTTTTCGCAGTGGGTTGACAGGAAAACCCTTTTAAAGGAACCCATGGATTGCAAAGGAAGATTAAAAGGAACCCATGGATTGTGTGGGAAAACCAAGAGGGACCCATGGATTGCCTGGGAAAACCAAGAGAGACCAGACCCATGGATTGCCTAGGAAAACCAAGAGCAACTCATGGGCGGCCTAGGAAAACCAGCAAGAACCCATGGATAGCTTGGGAAAACCAACCGGAACCCATCATTTTCGGGGGTCCCCTAAGAAAAAGACACCATGTTTTTTGTAGGAGGACTCGACTCCCATGGGCCACGGTTTCCTTTCTCCTTGAAACCGAGGGAGCCGATTCTTTGGGTCGTCGAAGTCAGCTGGAATCGGTCAAGCGGGGCGGGTATTGGGTCCGCGTGTTTTCAGGAAAAACAGCGCTCGACCCCTCACAGGGGCTCTTTGGAGCGTGATTCGGAGCAACCCGTTTTTCGTTTCCCATATACGTATCCTTGTCTGGGGTAGGGAAGTCGCAGTTTTGCCGGAACCCCAATGTTCGTGCCTAAGCATTTGGAATGGGAGTGGGTCCTTTAAAACCAACAAACAATTCTGATTTTAGAACAACAGTGCGTATAGTTGTTTGGCTATGACCACTTAGTGTATTGGCTGCCTAGCCACTGGTTAAGGCTTCATCATTAAAACAAGTAGTGCAAAATGGCCATGGAGCCTTAAGATAAAATACAATTACCTATTAGCTTTATTTTTTCAATTAGCCATGGGTTCATATACAACTAGCCATGGTTACTCCTTACTTATACAGTTCGCCTTTACTTTACTGCTATTGGGTTGGATCTTTAGACTTCAACTTTTTGGGACATCACGTTGGGTTTTCCACTAAACCCCCAAGAAGTTAAACACTTTTTGCAGGGGGGTCAACAGCAACAAAGGAATGGTACAACGCCAACAATTGTGGTTCCATGTTAACCAACAATCCAGTGGAATCCTGGCGTTCCCCTTGACCTTAGCCTTGCCTCAGGCTACCTCGGCCACCTGGACCTCGGTCACGTGGACCTCGGTCACGTGGACCTCGGTCACGTTGACTTCGGTCACCCTAGCACCCACAAGGACGCCATTTGGGCGTGGGTCAAAAATGGATACCCAAAATGGACCCCTGGATGTCAAATCTTACCCTGAACTGACTCACAGTGTAGGTACTCAAAATGGAAGCAATGGCTACCCGCGGTTTGCTGGTGGCTTCATTTTGAACCATACCCGCATGGGTTCCACCGGATTTGGGGTTTTGAGACCGTTCTCGAAGAGGCTTTCCCATGTTTTTTTTTTTTTTTTCTGACGGTGCTGGCATCCGCCGTTCGGGCTCGAGCTTTTGAAGCTTCAGCTCCTTTCGGTGGGGTCGAAAGGGTGGATTCTTGGCCGGAAAAAAGGTGTATGTCAGGATGGTCCCCAGATTTTTGGTCCCGGTCAATTGGATCACCCAGCCTTTTTTTTTTCCGATTGGGGCTCCAATCGGATCCTGCTGGGCCTGGACTTGGGATTTTTGAGTAATTTGACACTGTGGATGGACAGAATCCTGCACCACTTTGGAGCCACGGGAAACCATTGCTGGTTGGTAGTTACAGGGGAATCGGCATCCCAGGTTTGGATTTCGCAACCATCCACAGTACCGTGACATTGCCACAGGTATTTAACGGTAGAAGCCCCTCTTAGGGGCTTCCTTCTTTTTGTCTTGCCAACTGAAGATTTTCCGGACTTGCCCAGATGGTGTGAAGGTGGCTGTTGGCGATTCCCAGCTCGAGATTTTGGTTTGGGCAGTTTGCTATAGCGAGAGAGCCTCACAAATGGTGCTGTTCCCCTTGGTTTCCATTTAATGCCCACACCAACAAGGGCATAGGTGTCCCTTTTGGTCGGTTTGGTCGAAAATTTTTTACCTGGTGGTTGAATCATCTACCAGGGAAACCCATCTATTTCCCCGAAAAGGACGCCTATGAACAAGGGTATCCTTTTGAAAGCCAATACAGGTCGTGCGGAGCACGGGGAAATCTAGGGGTTGATTCGCCATTCTTTTCAACCATCGTTCTTTTCTCAAAAACCGGATCTGTTTCTGTTGGGTTTTTGCTGGTTTCCTGAAAAGATTCGGATCCCTGGAAAGAATGGAAAAGGAAGGTGCCCCTAGAGGAAGCTTCCGAATTTCAGGACGGACACTTCCACCACTTTGAGCAGCACCACCATCACCACGACCACGGCGGGAGGGGAGTCGACCTCGGGGGGGTAGATGTGGCTGTGGCTCCAAAAACCGGCCAAAATGGAACCCTGGCAAGTGGAAACATGGGTACCAAAACCTGCGGTTTCCCCTCCTGTTTAATTTTGAGCCACACCCATGTGTGTAGCCCTTTTTGGCTCAGTTCAACACCAACCTTTGAGCCTTTGGGAAACCACTTGTGGCTGCCGTTTTGAGTCATGGTTTGAAGAGGTGAACCTTTTGTTTTCGTGTTTGTAAAGGGGTGGAGTTGGTGAATCGGTGCCCTTTTAGGGCGGAGCCACATGTTTTCAGGGGATTCTAGTTTCATGCAATCCCAGAGGCCTCACTTTCGGGTCTCAGGGAGTTGCTCACTATGTGCAAAGCCGAGCATTCAGGACAGTCCTGAGGCTTGGAGAGGCAACGGATTTGAGAGAGGGCAGATGCCAGGGGGCTTTTGGATTCCGTACAAATCCGGACAGAAGGCATGGGCCTGGGCTTCCCTTGATGAGTTGACTCAGCACCTGAGCCACTTGCTCAACACCCAGGTAGATGAAGGTTGGTAACGGATACTCCTAACCATAAATAGCTTCTGAATTCTTTACATGGTTCTGGGTAGACCATTTTAATACCGGGTTTTGATTGTGACTCACCTTTTGTTTTGGCAGAAGAGCCCAGGCCCAACCGCCAATGGGGGGGGGCCTATCGCGTCAACTTGCTGACCAGTTAGCGGGGATCCCAAAAGGAGCCCGCCAAAAGGATCTCATCCCCGAGGCCGTACTTGGCCCAGGGGGATTTTTGGTATACGCCGATTTTGGTTCGTTGTAAAGGTACATGGCTGGTCGGATCCTTTGGAAGAAAACGCTTTGCGAATGAGAAACTATACGGGTATGAAACCCAGAGGGGGTTTCATCCATGAGGGGCTTTGTTCCCAGAGGTGAGTTTTTCGAGCTTCATCTGGTAGCTCATGGAAGCAGAGGTGGCTGTGGGTCAAAACCAATGGTACCATTTTGGGGTAGGTGCACCACCCATTTTAGTCTATTTTAGCGGGGATTGGGATGTTTACCGGGGGTACGGGGTTTTGACCCATGGCCAGGTGGCTCACCTTGGTTTGGGTCATGTACGGGGTCGCCTTGACATTTTTTTCCAAGGATTGGCCAATCCCCCCCAGTTTGCACAGCTCAAAGCGGTTGAAGCGAGAGACACCTGGGTGATGGTCAAAGTGCAAATACTCTTTGAATTCTGGCGGAAATCGGACTTCGATTTGTACAGTCCAACTTCCGCCAGCATCCCTTTTGGATCCCAAGGGAGGAAGCTCTTGGTTCTAAGACAACCACCACAAAGAGAAGACCAAACAACACGCGTATCTAGAGCATACGCGTAAGTGTTCAACGAGAACCTGTGAACAAAAACATGGGAAGCATCAGTCGACTGATCCACCCGCCCGTCCACCAGTTTTCTGCCGCAGGTGACCACCCAAACTTTACCAACCCCTCCACCTACGAGGCCGAGACTGGGCAAAGGGAGCCTGCCCAAGTCCGGATGCCACATCCCCGCGTTTCCTGTGTCTGAGTCCTCCAAAGTTGGGTCAAAGTAGATGGCACCATTCTTTCACTTTGGTTTTTCCACCCCGGGGTCTTTGGGAATCTTTTCGATGTCCACAAGTGATCTGGTGGTTGCTTGCTCGGGGAAATGGAAGAGCACTCGGTTTAGCCAACAGGTGGTTCTGTACGGAAAGTGAAAGGGTAGCGGTATCGCGGGATCTGACTATGTTTGGCCCAAACCACGTGGAAAGGCGCCAACATGTATTTGCAGATGCATGTTGGCACGCGCTCTGGAGGGACCACGAGGGATTCCACACGACAGATCCATTCTGAAGACCCTTAACTGTAGGGTTGACCCAAGCAAGTGAGTTTGCGCAGTAATTGCTTCATTTGGGGATGTGCCTCTCGCCCTCTTGCGCGGTCACCGCACCCCCCAAAATCCCCCCCCCCCCCGAGCTCCCACGCCGGAGTCCGGAGATCCGGTAGGACCTTCACATCCACCACGCTCACTTCGACCACCTTCACTTCCGCGGCCGTCTGGGACCCAGGAGATCGAAAATCGGACGGGGGCGTCCTTGACTTTTTCTTGACTGCTGGGTTGGATCCTTAGACTTTAACTTTTTGGGAAATGAAGGGTTTTTTTCCCACCAAACCCACAAACAGTTCAACTTTTTGCAGAGGGGTCAACAGCAACGAAGTTTTGATTTTTGCAGAGGGGTCAACAGCAACGAAGTTTTGATTTTTGCAGAGGGGTCAACAGCAACGAAGTTTTGATTTTTGCAGAGGGGTCAACAGCAACGAAGTTTTGATTTTTGCAGAGGGGTCAACAGCAACGAAGTTTTGATTTTTGCAGAGGGGTCAACAGCAACGAAGTTTGATTTTTGCAGAGGGGTCAACAGCAACGAAGTTTTGATTTTTGCAGAGGGGTCAACAGCAACAAGTTTTGATTTTTGCAACAGCAACGGGGTCAACAGCAACGAAGTTTTGATTTTTGAGGGGTCAACAGCAACGAAGTTTTGATTTTTGCAGAGGGGTCAACAGCAACGAAGTTTTGATTTTTGCAGAGGGGTTCAGAGCAACGAAGTTTTGATTTTGCAGAGGTCAACAGCAACGAAGTTTTGATTTTTGCAGAGGGGTCAACAGCAACGAAGTTTTGATTTTTGCAGAGGGGTCAACAGCAACGAAGTTTTGATTTTTGCAGAGGGGTCAACAGCAACGAAGTTTTGATTTTTGCAGAGGGGTCAACAGCAACGAAGTTTTGATTTTTGCAGAGGGGTCAACAGCAACGAAGTTTTGATTTTTGCAGAGGGGTCAACAGCAACGAAGTTTTGATTTTTGCAGAGGGGTCAACAGCAACGAAGTTTTGATTTTTGCAGAGGGGTCAACAGCAACGAAGTTTTGATTTTTGCAGAGGGGTCAACAGCAACGAAGTTTTTGATTTTTGCAGAGGGGTCAACAGCAACGAAGTTTTGATTTTTGCAGAGGGGTCAACAGCAACGAAGTTTTGATTTTTGCAGAGGGGTCAACAGCAACGAAGTTTTGATTTTTGCAGAGGGGTCAACAGCAACGAAGTTTTGATTTTTGCAGAGGGGTCAACAGCAACGAAGTTTTGATTTTTGCAGAGGGGTCAACAGCAACGAAGTTTTGATTTTTGCAGAGGGGTCAACAGCAACGAAGTTTTGATTTTTGCAGAGGGGTCAACAGCAACGAAGTTTTGATTCTTGCAGAGGGGTCAACAGCAACGAAGTTTTGATTTTTGCAGAGGGGTCAACAGCAACGAAGTTTTGATTTTTGCAGAGGGGTCAACAGCAACGAAGTTTTGATTCTTGCAGAGGGGTCAACAGCAACGAAGTTTTGAAGCCTTAAACTCAACTCCCACATTCGTCCCCTTTCTCCCATGGAAGTCTTGGGATTTGGGCCCTTTCACGGGAAATCCTAAGCAGGTTGCTTAAACAGTACCGGTCTAAATACGTGTCAACCAAGAGTTGGTGCAACCCTAGCCCCTTGGCAGTGAATGAACCTGGAAACGTAGGGCTCTTTTTGTAAGGCTTTATAAAACAATGCGTAACCCGGCTTAAGATTCGCGCCGGAAAAACGGATTCGTGGGCTGGGGTGATGCCCGCCGAATGTTCAGGGGCAAACAATGGGCACCCTTGCGAGAATGGTGTTCCTCAACAAACGACATCCAGGTACCACACCCATTGCGTGGATGTCAAAAGGTTGGCTAAGAGTTGTTGCATTTCTCTCCGCCTTTTTCTTGGCCCTCGTTCTTTCCCGCTTTTGAACCGCCGACCTCCTTGCTTTTGGCTGAAGCCATTCGCGCGTTTTCGTTTGATGGCCAATGGGGCTTGTGTGATGGTTTTTGGGATGACTTTGCGCGGAGGAACGGTTTTAGGGGGTATCTTTTGAGGCGTATAGGGGGGTCTTTGCAGGTGTTTTTTTGTTGTTTGGGTAATTCCTTTGGGGCGACATTGGGAGTTTCTGCGCTGGGGTATCATTTCGGGGGGATGACTTTGGGAACGTTTTTGGGAGGTGTCTCGGGGAGCTGTCTTGGGGCTGTCTTTGGTGGATGTCTCTGTTGTCTTGGGTGATGTCTTTAGAGATGACGTTGGGGATGTTTTTGGAAGGCGTCTTGGCGGAATGCCTCAGAAAAATGTGGGTAAGGGTCAAAATCAACCCACCAGAGCGGGTTCCATTTGGGGTATAATACCTATTTTTGACCCACAGCCATGTCCTTGGGGATAACTTTGGGGGATGTCCGTGCTAGCTAGCTTGTCTTTGGGGGGGTGTCTTTGCAGTCGTTGGCTACTTCGCTCGTGTCGCCGCTGGGCACTGGGCTCTCTCCGCCGTGTTCGCGACCGTTGGTGACTCTCCTCGCCCTCCAGGACCTCGCTCCGTGTCAGGGTTGTGTCTTCTGCTTTTTTTGTGGGCGGGGGGATGATGATGATGGTGATGTGGAAGCCAAGATCCACGACCAAAGGCTCAAACCAACAACACTCTAGTGGGGCTTGCTCCCATTTAGAGACCACATGCTACAACAAGGAGTTGGCAACCGCCTTTCTTCTTTCTCTTTGGGTAGCTTCTTGGGGTTGTCCTAAAGTTGGGAAACCCACCGTGGTTGTTGTTTTTTGGGGGCGGGGGTCCTGTTAAGACATACCAGTTTGGCGGGCTTATAGAAATGACATTTCGCATCTCTTGCCCGAGGTGGCTCCGGCGCCCCGCGTGGTGCCAGGTGCGCAGGGTTTTCCCGAGTGAGTCGAGGGAGCTACCGACAAAAGCCATGCGTCTGGGAGGTATTAGAGGCTAATTCATCACACAAAGCTCCATTCTTTTGCAAAACTCATCACATCAGCTGACTTAACTTAGTTTCATGATTCTTCAAATTCGCACTCAATCATAAAGCCTTTGGTTTTATGGTTTTAAGGTCACCTTGTATGATACCAAGGGAAACTTCTTTGACATGATGAATTAGTCATGCGGCCGGCCCACTTATGTAGCACGGAAATGGATTGTTATTGTCCACAACCATGGACAAAATGACTGTTGGCCGGTTGCTAGTTCGTGCAGGACGAGAAGGGCGGTCTATCCAAATGTTTGACGAAAAGCAGCTTGAGAGATGCGGCTTTTGAGACTCCGGGTGCCTTAGGCACGGGTTGTCATATGGGGCTTGTCTTCCTTCAAACGAACCCAAAGCAATTCGGTGGTTGTGAGGTGATTTCCCTTTGAAACAACTCTAAATGGGTACCAACTTTGTTTGGAGACACAGCCAGATGGCCATAACAGTTGAGGAACACTCTCAATAATGGCTGGACGATTGTTCCAACAGCATGGCACTTGTCCCTTGTCCCACATCTCGTTTGGGTCAAAGCATGGTGGTAGCAACTTGACGGCTCGCGTTTGCGACCTTGCTCGGCTTTATATATCTACCTTGAGCCATTGTTTCTTCTTGTAGGTGGGGTGATGTTTAAACGGCACATCATGTTGATCCCAATTTAGTCAGCCTGCCGGATCACAGGCGCACTGCCCCAAAGCTTCATGGAGCATCCCATCAAAATCAGCCAAGGGTTCTGCTCAATCAACTGACTGCGAAAACCTCTTCTGGCATCCCTCTAAACCTCTGGGTCAAAACCAACCAGGCAACAGAAAAAATCGTCAACCAAAAAGGTTTCACTACCTTGTCCTCCTGGTCCAATGAGTCAAGTGCTTGGGGATCGCCCCCCCAAGTGATAAAGCAATGGGGATCGCCTTCTTGCGAAGTTCCACGGTGTGAGCACCGCCCGAAAACCCAATCCTCCCACTGTAGTAGATGGTCTTACCACTGTATATATATATATATACATAGATGGTCTTGCCCCAATCTTCCCACGTGTTGATCCCGGGCGCCATCGATGCCAGGCGTGGCTTTTGCCCCCGACACCTCGACGTCCACGTCGACGGAGCTGAGGGCGGCCGAGGGCACGGCGGAGTTCGCGCCGGAGGCGCGGGAGTCGGGCCATGGCTTGGGGAAGATCGGTTGAGACCTCCAGCGGGTCCGGTGGGTTGCCAAGCCATTTTTTCCGACTTTTTTTGTTGGGGGGGGGAGGAGTCCGCTAGAGGGCTGCGAGTTTTCTTGTTTTTTTGGTTGGGGAAAGGAGTCCGTTTAAAACGCTTGCTTCCTGAGTTCCTGGACTTTAAACTCTTTCGAAGACCAAATTTGAGTGGTAAGCAGAAAGTTTGGACCGGTTCGTTGCAGGTTCCTTCATCATTTCAATGGGTGTCTGTGCGTCCGAAGAAGCAGGATGGAAAAGGACAATTGAAATCCATAGGCCAAGAGTCCCAATTTTCACATCGCCGGTTTTTGAAAGACTCTTCGGCACTGAAATCAGGTGTTCCAACAGGTTTTCCAGTTGTTTGGTTTAGGGTCTCCTCCAAGCTTTGGCTAGATATGGTGCAGGTCTTTCCAAACAGTGTCTGGAGTCGCACTCCGCTGAGTGGAGTGGTTTCAACGATGACTTGGGCCAATTTCTTTGAGTTTCCTTTGGTGATGCTCAAGCGCGGACATGTAGGGGTTGATCAAAAGGTCCAATACATAGGAAGACCATTGGGTGGACCCACTGGAAGGATGATGTTTCAACCACGGAGGTAGTTGGTCCACGGCTCACATTGAGCCGTGGATCAAAATGCAATTTCGTGTGTTTTTACCCCTTCGGGCAGCTGCAAACACTGATACTTCAGCACTGTACCCATGCCAGCCAGATGGTAAGAACACCCGCTCAGGCGCACCCGCTCAGCACTGCACGCATGCCAGCCAAATGGTAAGAACACCCGCTCACGCGCCCGCTCAGTACTCTACCCATGAAAAAGCCAAATGGTAAGAACACCCGCTCACGCGCACCCGCTCAGCACTGCACGCATGCCAGCCAAATGGTAAGAACACCCGCTTACGCGCACTTGCTCAGCACTGCACACATGCCAGCCAAATGGTAAGAACACCGGCTCACGCGCACCCGCTCAGCACTGCACACATGCCAGCCATATGGTAAGAACACCCGCTCAGCACTGTACCCATGCCAGCCAACTGGTAAGAACACCCGCTCACGCGCACCCGCTCAGCACTGTACCCATGCCGGCCAGATTGTAAGAACACCCGCTCACCAGTGGAACCCCTAGCGGGCGTTTGCTTGCCCTGGACGCGCTGCTGTGACAAGGAACGCAGTCGGTGTTTGATTGGGAAAAAGCAGTGCGTCGTGCCGGTTTGAAAGTAGTTCACGAGGAACAAGACCCTTGTTTGCATTGGGAAAAACCAACGAAAACAGCAACCCTGCTTGGGGTGGACGTGTGAAAAGCACGGAAATCACTTAAGGCTTCGGTTCATTGGGATTTCCCATCGGACAACACGTGTTATTCTTGACTTGTGCTACTGAAATCCTGTTTTGACTCACGGCGGAATATGAGCCGTGTTCCAGGTAATTTCTCATGGTCACTTCCAGGGGTTCTGGGGTAATGCTCAAACAGAGACAAGGTCCTCCAGTAGTGCCGTTGACCCTTTTTTGGAGGGGGTTCCCCAACTAGAATAGACTTCAGAAAAAGTTGGCACTAACTTGTTCTAACCTCTCTACTGGAGGACCTAGCAGACATATCGGGAACCCAGGAAACCCAGCGCACCGACCGCTCAACCGGCGGATTTCAGTTCGATCCCAGAGGTTGGTGTGACCATGGAGCTGGCGAATCTGGATTACCAGAAGCTCTCGCCGCGGACGTGGAAGGGGTGCAAACCAACTGGTGTTCATTGTGTTTTTGCCAACTCCGGTTTTCGTTTTTTTTTTTTTGGTTGGTGGGGGGGGGGGTTAAGAAGAAAAAACTGTGTTTTTTTTGGTGATTTCTATGGGTCAACGTGTTGAACCACCGTTGTCCTTGAAGGTGATGGTGGAGAGGACATATTTCATCCGTGCAGGGTCGAGCGTTGACCATACGTCTAATCCCCAAAGCAAATCGGTGGCTTGCCGTTTGAGTATTCCTTTAAACCGCCCCAAAATGGATATCCCATCAAACAGGAGAGACACCCATATGTGTGCGTGCTGTCATCTAAGATGTGTGCCATAGACAAACCGCCCAAGATGAATTCGACTTCTTGACTCGCGGAAGGGCTTCTGCACCCCTTGCACCGGTTGCACCACTTTCTGGGTTAGAAGAGCACCTGAATTGTCGATAGGGGGGGGGAATTAGGTGGCCAAACAGATATCCATAGAACACTGATGGAGACTAGCTGACTAGGCTGGACGAAATTTTGGGAATGCTAGGGTTGACGACACAAAGGCTGCCGCCTGCTTCCCGGCCGTTCGGTGCTCCGGGTCAGACCCTCCAAAAATGTTCGAAGGGTCCGGCGTTTGGGGTGGAGTCCTTGAGGGATCGCGATGCTCCGTGTTTGTTGTTGGGGTGATTTTGAACATGCCCTTTTCTGGGGGACTGGTTCAAGGGTGGCGTTTATTTTATGTTTTTTGGGGTAGACCAAATATGCCCCTGAATCTAATCTTATGTTTAGAGTACCCTCCAACCAACTAACGTGGAAGTGCGCACAGCCGCTTTCCGAAGAGGAAAGTCGTCTTTTAAAAGGGCCTATGGACTTCTTTCCGCGTGTGTGGCTCAAAATCAAACAGCTGTGGCAAACCGCAGGTTTTGGCCTTTGTTTCCATAAAGCTGCCATTATCACGAAAGCTAGCTTTAGCTAGCTGAAGTTTCTCCTTGCGTAAGCAAGGTAAGGGGCTCAAATGCCGAAAGATTGATTTTTTCAATTATTTGAGCCGAAAAGATTGAAAAACATCAATTATTTAGACCCCCCCCCCCCCTCCCCCCCCCCCCCGGGTCTCAGGCTCGATTCCTCCCTGGTCCATCCCCCCCCCCCGGCAGTGGCTCAGTGTTCAGCAGTCTCGGTTTGCCCGTTTTGGACTTGGTGCTACGAACTTTTACATGTTCCACCGATTCAGCTTGTTCATTTGAGACCTCAGTCTTCTCGGTAAACCACCTCGCAAGAATCTTTGCACACGCTGCATGCAGAACCCAGAGGTGCTTTAAGACAGCTTCTGACGCCTCTCGTTGCTTTCATTTTTCAAGGTCACCATGTGCGTTTGCGTGTCGCATCCTACGAATCTTGCCGGGCCCCTCGTTGTACACAAGCTACCTATGAATCCACTCTGTCACCGACCCATCTCATGCAACAACTGCTAGCTTTCGTTCACCCGCTCCTCAAGTGGAAGTCGCATGTTTTGAGCCACTTCCATGTGAGTGGGGCGGGTACCCGTTCGGCGCCTTTCCGCCGAGGTCTGCGTCGCGGGATCAGCAGAATGAAGTGGTCGAAGGCGTTTGGTTTCGTTGGGGTCACGAGCACTGCCTGTTGAACGGTACCTAAAGGGAGTTTGGGCATGGGGGAAGTTGTTTCTTGTTGCGGATGGGGGGGAGGGAAGGGGGTACCAGGGGAGGACTCAAGTTGGTACGGAACAAAGTCAGCACATACGACGTTTTTGTGTGTGCAGATGGCCACGTCGCAGCGCTGCTTGACGAGCTCACTGAATGCTCCGGGCCAAGAAAGTGGAAACCAACTTGGTTTGAGGCATGAAGTTTCTGGTCGCTTCAAGCTGCCACAATTCAACGTGGCCTATGACAACCTCCGGGAGTTGGTCAAAAACTCCAAGTTCCACACGGATGACTCAGCCTCGATTCGACAGCCAGGAATGGCATGGAAGTCCAAGCCCCGCACGTTCCAAATCACAGCTCGATTTGTTGCGGGTCGTAGAGGTTGACCCGATCGAGGCCAACAGGAATTTTGAGAGGCTCGTCCTTTTCAGACCAACTTGTTGGAATTTTGGCGTCCTTTTCAGAACTTGTTGGAAAATGGTGGGTGTTTTTGATTGGCGTTGGTTCCCTTTCTTCGGCCCACAGGGAAGCCAACCATGTGTCGGCAGTTCCGGGCTCCGGGCTGCCCTGACGGGAAGACGCGTACCAATTGCCGTAATATTACGAGTAGCCCTACAACATAAGCCGGGTAGAGGGATGTTCCTTGTTCCCTACCTGCCTGACATGGCTAGACACTTGCAGTTGGAATGAATTCTTCGACGGGCATCATTGCGAAGATCTGGGATGCAGGCGGCCCACCGGATTTCTAAATATGATGTCCATCTATCAACCTACCTTCCCAGCCCTCCCATCCTATGCATCCCATCCTTTGTTATTTCATCCCATTCCATCCCATTATATCTATTTTCCTATACAAATAGCTGTATACGCGTACACAGAAGAGAAACAAGGCTGATCTGTGGCGCTTCCGAATTGCCCCCGCGAACCTCCAAACGCTCTGTCTTTCTCAGGACGGGAGACCCAGACAGTAGCAACCACACTTTGTTTAAATCATGATAATGATAGTAACAAAGATACTTTGAATAATGATAATAATAAACATGATAATAGTTATAGTAATGGCAATAGTACTAGTACTAGTAATAGTAATAGGAATAGGAATAGTCGTAATAACAATAACAATGATAACAATCATTAACACATAGTAACAACAATAACAAGAAATCAGAAGGGGACCGGATACAAGGTTGTCAAGTACCCCGAGCCCTATTGGGGGGGGGGCCTTGGCAACCATGCGAATAGGGGGATGAGCGTTTGTTTGTTGTGTCCTGACTCGCTTTTCACCACGCTGTCAACTTCAGCTACCCCTGAATTCGTGCTTTGGATTGGTGGTTGGGATTTGAACAACAGTTCCTTTTGAATCCAACTCAACAAAAAAAGGTACCCCCCCAAAAAAAAACAAACAAACACACAAACACAAATTCCTGAATTCCTGCACTTCAATCACTGTTTGGGAAGGCCATTTTAGGGAAAACCACAAATTTGGTTAATTAGTCACTGGTTTTTCGGGCCATAAAACTAGCACATGTGGTTCGAATTCCTTGTGGCCATCAAGCTCGATGGGAGGAGTCAAAGCGAACCTTCCGACCCGACCTGGCGCCAGGCTTGCAGCAGACGCTGGCCTGGCGCGCCGGGTTGCGGCAAGGAGGGTCCGAGAGCGGCGGCGAGTGTGGCGACTTTTTTTTGGCAGATCGAAGCCTGAGGATGCTCAAAATCTGTTGTTTTTCTTTTTAAGGAGCCCGGACGGGAGTGGACAAGTGTTTTCCTTTGTGTGTTGCTTCTTCTTTCTTTCTTTTTAAGCATCGAAACCTTAGGATGCTCGAGATCCTTGGTTTTCTTTTGTTGTTTCCGTGTGTGTGTGTGTTCTTTTTTCGGAGCCCGGGTGGGAGTGGACATGGTTGACAAAGTTTCACCGGTGATTTCTGGGATCACGCTTCGCCGAAATTTTAAGGATCCAAGCTCTTCTTATAGGTTTGGCGGCAAAAGCGGCACATTTGCCGAGTTATTGCTTTTTTTTGTTATTTTCCTACTGTGTGGGGATGGCCGCATGCCAAACAAAATTGGCAAAGAAGTCAGGGGAGGTTTCCAAGCACCAAACGAGACGTGATGTTTGTCTTGTGCGTTGAACGTTTGTTGTGCGCTTGCTTGGGACCGCGTTGCGTTGCGCGAAAGACTTGGTTGCCGACATCCGGACTTCCGGATATGCCGGGTTGGGAAACCATCCCAAACCTCCAAACTACCGATCCAAACCACTAATCAGAGGGAAGCTGCTTCCAACGATGAAAGTGGAACTGGTGCCTTTTGAGCTGAATCTCAATTGGTGGACGGGGGTCAAGCAACTGAATTGCACTCTCCGCTAACCCCTACCATTCAAAGTAAGGTTTCTTTTCACCTGAGTGGATAAGTCATGTGTTGCGCCCTAACGAGCGCCTGAGAACCGTGCCAATCAGGAAAACAAAGCAAACATGTTCAGTTGAACCAACCCGTAGCAAGCCCTTTAAGTCAGCAGAGCTCCGATCGCGAGGTTTCTTGGGGGTTGTTTTTTCCTGAACGGCCCACATGGGCTTCTCAAGCCTCCCTAAACTTCCATTTGCCTAACAATACTTGTTATTTCCCCCTGTTGGTTTTAAAAGGAATCTATCACTACTGGAAACATTTTTTTCCAGCGGACTTAAGCAAATGGAGGAAAAGACACACCCATACAATTCTGTGGGTTGATGCAGAGGTCCTTTGCATGGGATGACTGCTTGTTGGAAAACAAACCAAAAAAGATGACATATCGGACATGGAAAAGTTACCCATGGTCATTTGGGGGCCAGGAATATAGATCAACCCCCATATTGCACCAAGAGCAATCACGCGCAAATGCACCGTTGTGAATTGTGATCATCCCAGAGGGTAAACAATGTCGTCACCATTCTTGGGGATCCCTATCTTTAAGACGCATTACCACTGGTTGCATGGGTCAGTTGGACCGGCCCAGTTTGTATGGTCCAGCTGAGTTCCAGGGTTCGGGCAGGTTGCCCCGAAGTTGGTGTGTGACAAACCGTCAGCACATGGATCTGCCTACAGATACAGTTGGCACCTTTGCCTGTGGGTCAAAAATAGTTGCTAACCCCAAAATGGGTCGTAAATGGAAACATGGAGTAAAACCTGCGCTGCTCCGGTGGTTTAATTTTGACCCATACCCATGTGTCTCCCGGTCACCCCAGGTTTGCCCTTAGATCCGGTGCTAAACGCTTGTTGCTCACCGAAAATCTCGGAAACGCCAAAGACAAACAAATAAGCAACCAGCAGCTGGAATCAACAAAAGCACGACGTCCTTCAAGCCGTTTCCTATGGCTTGGGATCTTTGAACTTCGATGCCTGCCGTGGCCATAGTCTTCCAAGGGCCGGAAATCTCACCCATGGCTCGCTTTGCTTGTCTGGTCTGGCTCACTGTGCTGAGCCGCGGAGTCTCCGCGGAGGATGTGGACGAGTGCGCAGAGGGCGCTGTGTCTTGGTGAAGGAACATGATCTTTCTCGAAACGAGCAACATACCCGAGCCAGTTGAGCAGGTTTCCAAGCCATGCCATGATGTTTGTTGTTGAACAGCTGACAGCTTTGGGGTAACCTGACGATCTGACGCGGCGTTCCGTTTGACCTTTCGGCTTCAAACAAAATGTGGTTGTCCCCCAACAGTTGACAGCTTTGGTGTTTGTGCAATTGGGTAGGTTCTGGTTCTCCCCTCCGGAGCGGAAACCAACAAGAACTGGCACAAAATCCTGGCGCTCAGCCGTGTGGGCTATGTTTATATAAATTAGACTTCCCTCCTTGGAATGGCCGCCGCTGCGGGACATTTCGGGGAAGGGCCCCCTGTAACTTAACTAGGTCCCCCAGTAGTGCCCTTTTACTTTTTAGGGAGGGTTCCCCTACTAAAACAGACTACAGAAACAAGGGTACCCTTATTCTAACCTCTCTACTGGAGGACCTCAGGGAGGCTTTGATCGTGGCTGTCCAGCATTTTTCTCTGACCTCCCTCCGAATGGGTTAAGTCGCTGAGGAGATGCGGATGCTGCAAGTGGGCAAAGCCACGCTGAAGAGCGCGGATCTTCAGAACTGCGGGCACTTGACCCAGGACGGCATCCTGGGTCAGACTTAGGATACATTTTACGTTTTACCAGTGACTCAAAGGGAAGCAACCAATGGACTATACATTCTATAACTGGGCCGAAGTCTAATCATGCCTACTTGAGCGCCCAAACGGGAAGGGGAAGGGGAAAGGAGCCCTGACCTAGCCAAATCGGTTTGAATCGCTTCGGGGAATGCTGGCATCCAAATGCAAAGTTGACTTTTGAGTTCGTAATTGAAAACGAAGGGATTCAATATTCAATATAGTTAATGAATACGGCTAGTTGCATAGACTTAAACTTGGCTTCGTGTTATCTACTGAGATTCGCCCTGAGATTCATGGCTATGAACTTTAACAGGGAACCCCTTGAAGAGTGGTGGGCATAAATCCCTCCCGAGCTGTAATTTCCAGCAATATTCCCCAGTTAAAATTCATGCCCAACCTCCATCAGACCAACCAGCAGCCTCGAAGACGCCACTCGAGCAGAGACCAACACGTCTTGACTTCTAGCTTTCTAAGCGTGCATTTGCTGAAGTCCACTGGAGCAAGAAAGTGATAGATTCTCTTTAAAACCAACAGAGGGAAAATAGAAACACCTATTCTGGAGCAAACGGAAATAAGACGAATAGAACAAATACGTTTGGCCTTATTCGAATCCTTAAACCAGACATCTGCCCTAATTCCTTACAGGGAAATGGTTGCCTTTCAGGTTGGGCCCCCTTACCAACAGAAAGCGGTAGCCGCAAAAAGAGACACACCCAAGTGGCTATAGTTCTTAAAGGTGCATGGGCTACTTCAGATGGGGCCTCTTTGGAATGATTTGGTGAAATTCCAGGTATTTGCCTTGGAGGAATTTCATTGGAAAAGCACTGGAGAGCACTGGAGAAGAACTGGAGTGCCACTGGAATGTCAATGGAATTGGTCCTTGGTGGGAAAAAGGCCAGAGCTAGGTTCCCCTTCAAAAGTAAAATTCGCAAAGTGGAATTGGAAATTTCTGGCCTGGAGGGCCGAATTGGACTTTTCACTGGAATTTTGTTGGAAGGAAAGGGCGTCTCCAAGGAAATTCCAACTAATGTCCAATGACATGCCAGTGAAAGTTCAACGATACATACATACATGCATGCATGCTCAGGTGCCTCACCCGGGTTTCCCAAATCTTTTCTAAGGCCCCCTATACGAATATTTCTTGTAGTTGGGGTAAAATAACGGCACCTGGCCTTTTTGGTGATATTTGCTTCTCGCTCGAGACCCGCCAGGACACCTGTTATGAAGGCGCCTTGGCTCGCTTCGGTTCAGGAACTCCCGGGCAGACTTTGCGACCTCGCCAGTGAAGGGTCCTTTCGTAGGAGCCCCATACTGTGGATGGTTGCGAAATCCATTTCGCCCCTAAGAAACCATGGTTGACACCAGTGTTCGTTGGTATTTACCGGGGAATCGAATCATTTCACACCGTCTTAGGTGAGACGAAATGGATCTTGTCCATCAGTATGTCCGGTGGGCATGGTAGCGAGGAGGCCTCAGCGAGCGACATGATGCAGGCCCTGAAAGGCTTCAGGGGTTCCATATGTTGTCCGGTGAATGAGTTGTACCCGGCGCTTGCAGTTAGCATGCCACTATAGTAGGCTATGCAAATTATTCAGTCATGTAGAAGCTAGAGGTACTTTTGTGGTAGCTGGAAGCACTAGATTAGTTTGCGCAAATGGATTTATGAGAATCTACTAGATGGTGTCAGAGAAATGCGGGCATTTTCCACTACAGGGAAGCCAGCGCCAAAACCCGCCGAAAGGTGTCAGGACGAACCTTTACCAAAAGAGCGGAGAAAAAAAACACACACAACAACACCTTGCCGATTACACTGGGACTGTCCCTTACCTTCACTTCCCGAAGCTTTCCTTATGGCTAAGAGATTTATTTTGTTGAATGACAATGTGTTTTTTTCCATTGGTTACGCCCTCAAAGATGGGGGCTTTTCTTATCATCCAACCATGTGCACTCCAAAAGGGTCCAATGACTTTGCTCTCCAACTCTGGCGGTTCTGATGGAAGGGTTTGACTGGTAGCTAGCCCTACCAAATTGGCTGGGATCACATCAGACAATACTGAAACTGTTAAAGCAAGCTCGTCCGTGCCGAAGGTCCCTTACTTGGTGCTTCTTTAATTTCCTTTTTGTGTGTGACATGCGGCTATGGATTTTGTTGGGGAATACCACCCCACTTGGTGGGTGGACATAAATCCCCACCTAAAAATTATGAGAACTCAAAGGGTCCCCAGCTCAAATTCATGCCCACAGATGTGTCACTTGTGGCCATTTGCGTGGTTCAGTCTTTTGCCGGTGGTTGAACCCCCCCTTCTCGACTTGCAGTCGTGACTCGTTGTCTTGCATATTGCCCTACGTGGCTACGACAGGACTTCAATTTCGTTTCTTTGCCCTTTTCCCCCACGGCTTCTGGTTCAGCTCTCCATCATTTCCTCTCTGGACACGCAACAAAACATCGTCAGGCAGCAGGGAGTGGTATTTCTTTCATCCGACGCGCTGAATTTTGGAGAGGCGCCACCTGAAAAGTCCAAACTCTGGCACTTTCGCGGTGAATGCCCAAGAAGCCGGGGGGGAGGGGGGGTGTTGTGCCACCAGAACTGTGTGTCGCGGTGCCCCGGTGACAAACAGGGCTTCCCCTTCCATCAAGCTTCTGACCCCCAGAGTCTCACAGTCTTTGTGGCGTATGCAGCCACCTCACAGCCACGAACAAACAGAAGAACCATACCCCGCCCCCATACCTTTGGGATGGTACCCACATCATTGTTCTTTCGCACCAGCGATCGCAAGCCGCTTCTTAAAACCCTTTCAACCGGATTGAACATCCACGTGCTTAATATGTTATTCTGTTTAATGCTCCCCTATTGGTTCTCGAGCGCACCTATCACTACTGGACATATGCCACTCTTCCTCTCCTTTAGAGGGCTTAAAAAAGCCAATGCGAGGGTCTGCGTCGACATGAGGTGCCAATTTCTTCTCCCAGGGGGCGCTCATAAACTAAATGGAAGGGTCTGAGTCGAGCTGCTGAGGTGCCAATTTCGTGTGCTCCAACAACTGCCCCATCCACACCCACGGCAAGGACTGCTACAGGCCCATCCCCGAGGCGATGCCCGGATCAATGTTGAACCAGCAAGCGGTGCCCGCGAAGAAACACGAAAGCGCGCCCAACCCGCAGCCGCAAAAAAAGTGGAACCAGGGTTAGAGGAAAAGGGTTCCTCATAGTGTGTAACCCTGACGGGTCTTTCAAGATGCAAAGTGGACGACGTGCTTTTTTTTTTTGGGTGTGCTCAACAAGCATTTGTTGGAAGGCTATTCATCCTTTCATTGTGAAACCTTGTGGCTTCCATTGGTGGAAGTTTGGTTTACCATCGGGGGTGCTTGTTTGGTTGTGTATTCCCAGTTCCTTTACCTGAGGTGACCAAGGGAAGGCTTGGCCCTTCACCCTTCAACTGGGATCCACTGACATGCCACGCCATCTCCTTCTTCGAAGGTGTGGCATACCTCTTATTGATTTTTTTAGCTCAGTTCGGGGAGTAATGTAGAGAATCGCTACTTGGATGACCACTTGGCTGGTTTTATCAACCCTGGTTGGTCAGCCCCTTGGCTATATATGATGTCATATGTTTGGCGGTTCAGGGGCTCGACCAGGAAAAAACGCTAAGAAGTTGCTAATAGTTTGCCACTACGATCATGACTAAACATCTCCAGGTCATTTGTTTAGGCCCCTTATTCACATACTCATTTGCAACCTCGTCTCCATGATCCGATGCTTCCGGTCGCGCTGCCCCTCTTTTTTCTGTTCACCCCTGGCACTCTTGCTTCCTGGGTTGTTCTATTGCTTGCTGGCGATGAAAATTTGAATAGGGAACCACCTCAAGAGTGGTGGAGCTACCAAAATTTGATGCCGGGGTCCCAGGTTGAATTTCATGGGGCCGGGTTTTGTTTTTTCGAAGTGTGTGCCACCTTGCTCGTCTTGCTTTTGTTTGTTTTTTTGAAACAACCTGGTTGCATATACGGGTGGCTGCCCACATATTGCAAGTACGGGAATAGGAGAAGCCTGTTTGCCCATGTTTTTGTGGTTGGATGTGGTTGGTTCACTTGCAAGACTGATGGAGACCAACTGTCCACTTTGTCCACTGTTTATCCCAGATCCCAACTGGTGCCTGGCGTGGATTTTGCTTGGCCACAGCAACTGCAGTCAACGGACTCGCTAAGTGGAGATACTTGTGCTAACCTGCCATGGGTGTAGCCTCTTGCAGTTCGTGAAAGCCACCAAGCACCCATAGAGGAATCTCCCTTCGGGTTGTGGGAAAGTGACTCCATGCAGAGGAGTCACCGCCCTAGCGGGTTCCTGCAAGCCACCATCCAAATGAAGACACCCAAACCTGGACGTGTTTTCCAATCTGGGTTGGCCTTTTTTGAACCACCCGGCTCCGGTACCATTTTCAATGGCACCCTTTTTGCACCTGAAGTTTGTTTGGGACTCCGTTAGTCCCATACCAATGCTGTTGCTTGAGCTATTTGGTGACTGGATCCATTTACCATAGAGTACCAAAGGAACCACTTTTGAAAGCCAAAAGCAACATGCCTGGTTAACTGCTATACTGGCAAGCGCCTGAGATCCACTGGGATGTGCACACTCAGATCATCGCTTCACAACCACGATTGAGGAGCTTTGTTCGGGGATACGCTGGTTGCCAAGTTAGTAAGTGGGGGTCGACACTCGGGTTACGAATAACAGGGTCAACCCCATTATATAAGGGTTATAAGTGAAAAGGACTAGGTCACCAACAACTTACCAGCTTGGCCGATCACCCAAGTATCCTGGTGTTGTCCCTTCAAACCAAGATTCTGTCGCCCCAACACGCGTGAATTCGCCCTTTGGGCTCCATGTCGATTTTTTCAGGAGGCAGTTGTTTGCTGATTTTCAAGGACCCCCCCCCGTCCCCCCCAGAGAGAAGAACCAAGACATCCGGAATTTGGGTTCATGTGCAGACTCTTAGCTGCTGTTGGGTTGGATCTTTAGACTTTGCCTTCTTGGGAAATCAAGGGGTTTTCCACTAAACCCCAAAAAGTGAAATTTTTTGCAGGGTCAACAGCAACCCAAGGACTGAATCACGAGAAACCCTGCCGCAGGTGATGGCGGAGCACCCGGGCATGGACGGCTACTGCTACCTGGTCCATCCCGAATCGGGGGAATAATCCGCAAAAGAGGGTGGTTTCAACCAAGCAGCGTGTGTTTTCAGCGAAGCCAACGAACCCTAAACCCTAAAACCCTAAACCAACGAACCCTAAGCCAACGAACCCTAAACCCGGAACCCTAAACCCTCGACAATGTTCGGACGAGAAAGAATGGTGTTGCCGTCTTCATGCCCATGCCTGGACCTGGGATTTATGCGAGAGCAGGACCTTGTGTCTCCCGTTCCTGGAGTTCCCTGTCGGTCACAAAAGGGCTGGCTCTTGTCCTTTCTCAGGGCCCCCTTGATTCCCTTTTCGGTGAGAGTCAAACATCACCTTTTTTCGTTGGCAAATTCCCGGCTCGCTCAGAAATATTAGCAGGCGCCACACAGGAAAGCATGAGTTTCGCGTTTCGCGCCCGTTTTGCGTGCGCGTAATCACCACCCCTGCATAACTGATTTGGAGGGGGTCACAATTTTGTAAGCTGTATTTTTGGGGCTCAACTTCCCTGGTCTTCTGGCACGGGAGGTTCGAGAGGTTCGGGAGGGGGGGGAGGGGGTGAAATATGCCAAACATGCGCTAAGCCTTTCCCATCGCAAGTCCTCGTGGCTCACGCTCCAATTGGCGCCGTCGCGTGAGAACAAACTTCGAACGACATTGCAGGCCTTAGTTTCCGCGCTGAACAGAATGCTTTGCATTCGAGGCAGTCGTTGCCGGCCAATGCTCTTCACCTTCCTGCTTGTGTAATCCTGGGACCTGCTCGACACCCAGCTAAATGTAGGCCTAGGCCCGAAACTCCCAGTCTTTTAAAAACTGCCCGAGCTGTCTCACCAAAGTCGACTTCTTGCGGGCCTTAGGACCACTCCAATCTCGCGATTCGGCTCGCGGCCTTAAGGCCCGCAGTCCGCACCACGCACGCAAAACTCAAGTTTTCGGTAGCTTGCCGAGCTCGCCATCCAGCTTGCCGCTCTTAGGGCGAGCGGCCCTAAGGCCCGAAGAGCTTGGCTTGGGCGAGACAGCATCGGCAATGACGGCGCCGGCATGAACAGGCAGACTAAGCCGCCGCGCGACGCGCGCGCACAGGCGCAAAACTCCTCTTTCAGCACCTTTGTTTGCGCAACAGGCGCGTTGGTGCGTAAGTCACGGCTCACACGACACCCTTGCTAACTCGAATTCCTCCGCAAGTGCAGCGCAATGAGGGCTTTGTTGTCGTCACTAGACGCCTTGTCCTTCCTGACCCACATCAACTCAAGCCGACATCTTCAAGGTGGCGCGGGCAGGTAGGAGCTCTCACTCCAAGAACGTCTTTCACACTCACCTGGAAAGTGATGCAGGACGCTGATGCAGCATCGCACTTCAGACCACTTGCTGTACTGCGTACTCGTGCCGCCGAACATATGGACCCAACTTCGTGTTGGATTACGGCAATAAGATGAACACTGCCACGCCCAAGAGTTTTCCTGAGGTCTTGTTGCGCACAACTAGTTGGGCTTCACTGTGGGCTACTTCAGCGCCTTCTCCTCTTCGCTGAGTGTCTGGGATATTATGTTAAGAGCTTTTGTCTTGGTCTGGATGCAACTGTGCTCTGACGTTTGGTAGGTAATGTTGTCCACAAGCATCCTTTCTCTGGTCATTATTTCTTGCGCACGTCTGCGGTCATTTTTTCATGGAGAAGGTAGCTAGGACCGATGACATATAAAGGCAGCTTCGCGAATGCATTTCCGCACCTCATCGAAAACATTTTCAAAAACCCAGTCCCCACGCTGACCCGCTTTCTATCACTGGGGGCAAAACAAATGCGCGTACTTTGCACGAAACCCTTTTGATTATTCGTCAGTCAAGCCTCCTAGTATTATTGTAGAAGACTGCAAAAGCTTGCGCCCGCCCACCCCACCGACCCCACCCACCTGGCCAACCCCACCAAGCAAACACCAGAGAAAGACGAAGAACAGCAAGAAAGCAAGCAAAGGGAAGGGGAACTGATTTGTGGCTTGGGTTGGTGGGAACTGGGGATTTGACCCTCTGGTTCTTTCAACTGGAAACTACGCTGAAGCCGAGGCTACTTCAACATGACCGGCTTCTGGGTCGTTCCGGTGGCGGCGGAGAATCCTGACTTCGTGCAGAGCTCCAGGTTGGGGGTGCTGGGGCTGAGGTGCTCCGACTACCCCGGGCTCAGCGCTTTGCCGAACAAGCCGCGGGGGTGGGGACGGGGAGGGGGCGGGGGACCCTGACTCGCGCAGTACGTGGGTTTGTTCGGCCAAGTTAATAAGTTGTTGGTAGCCTGTGACGTTAATCCGGTTATTTGTGGGTTATAACCGAAGCGGCTAACCGGAGCATCGAAGTATTTCACTGTTTCCTTGGATTTCTGTTTTGAACACCGCCAAAAGGGATTCCCTGAGAAAAGACGCACCCACAACTAGGGTCAGGTTAGTTTGTTAAAGTCAGGAACTGGGGTGGTTTCCCTTTAGCCTGCCAGACTAGCCAGTTAGAATTGGTGGTTTATCCACCTATGTTCGTTTTCAGAAATAGGTGTATATATATATATATATATATATATAAATTTGTTTTGGGTGTCAACATAATATATATATATATATACATATATACATACATATATATATATATATATATGTACAAATCTGCAGGTGGTGCGAAGTGGAGTTTGTTCAGCCACATTATGTTGCCCGTGTTTTTAGAACTGGGCCCTGTGGACACGCAGGCCGCGAGCCGGTTCAAGCCACCTAGGTGTTTCCGAGGATGTCACCGATTGTGCGTAGGCAGAATCTCTAGCTTTCAGCTTCAGGCTTCCTTGATGTGAGGAGGAAGGAGCCCAGTCCTGCAAAAGGATTCGGTTTGGTCCCACAGTTGGCACGAAGGTGTTACTCGCGAAATAATTATCATGTCAGTCGACAGCTCATCTTACAGTTTGGCTGGTAGGATTCTCGATGCTCTACACCCTCAATAATCCCCAAACCAAAATTGAACCATGCTCAACCGCAA